TTTTAAAAGTTCCTGTCACACCTTGATGATTTAGATCAGCGAATTCCTGGCATACGAAAAATCTGGCAAAAAAAAACGCTGGTAAACAGTATAAGTTATGAGCACGCTGAATCACGATGGAACACGTCGACGTACAGCGAGTACGTCTGCCAGCGTGGACCATCAGTTCCAGGTCAGTTATCTGATGAACATCCGTTCAGTGTCAGTTCTCCTCCAGACTTCATCCCCATCATAGGGTGAGCCAGAAGGTGAGTGATGGATCCTCCCTGCGTTCACGCCCACCACCAACACACTTCCTAGCAGACATGACGCTCAATCTGCTGACACCAGAAACCTGCTTTCTTTCTTTCTTTCTTTGGCTGGCAGTAAACTGCAGCTAGGTTACTGTGATCATTTCAGGGCATCACGCTGCCGTGCGTTATGCAGAAGTTAGGCCGTCGTTGGACAAAAGTTCTGGACTCGTTATGAATCCTCTAAACACCCAGAATAGAAAGAATCCATAGAAAGTTCAGCGTCTGCAGAGTTTAGGAGATTCTGGAACGTCAGGCAGACGCTGGATAAATCAAGATGTAACAGGAGCTTAAAGGAATCCTAAAACTAAAAGCCTTTAAAGAGAATTCATTAAACAAACTAAGTGATGAATCCCAGAGGGAACTTAAATGTCAGAGTAACTCAAAGGTTCTCTGTAGCTGCTTGTTAAAGGTGTTGATGGCTGCAGGCAGGAAGGATCTTCTGTAGCAGTTTATGTGCAGCAGTCATGGAAAACTATGGAAATCTAAGCATGTTTATAATCCTTTAAATATCAATCAGAGGCTCTTCTCAACATTAACATAGAAAACTGTGGAATAGAGAAGCTGCTCCTTCTCCAGATGTTCCATCCTGTCTATCTGCTGCTCACCCCATGATAGCAGGAACCGTCCCATCAGGCTTAGTGTCGTCCAGAGTCAGGCCGATAGGAGCCCCCTCCTCCTCGATCACCATGGTACCGCAGTAACCTGATGGGACCAGAGGTTAAAACCAGCCAATTGCTGCGCAGCAATCCCTCCATCCAGCTGCGCTTACCCTTTTTCCTCCAGAAGTTCTCCTTGTAGTAGACCATGCATTTGATGACGGAGCCCATGGGGACCCTGTAGATCAGCTGGTTCCTGAGGGGGGGCAGCTCCGGGTTAAAGTGCATCTTGAGGATCAGCCCGGGGGGAGTGGCCACGATGACGTATCTGGCCTAAAGAAAAATAAAGACTAATTCAGGAGAGAAACCAGCAGGTGGCAGCAAAACACAACCGTTTGGTTTCCTCTGAGATTCTGAGCAAAGAAGTTTCTGCTCTGGATCAACAGATCTGAAGGTGGCAACCATGGACATGTCTCTCTGTCCGTCTGTCTGTCCGTCTCTCTGTCCGTCCGTCTCTCTGTCTCTCTGTCCGTCTCTCTGTCCGTCCGTCTCTCTGTCCATCCGTCTCTCTGTCCTTCTGTCTCACTGTCCATATGTCTCTCTGTCTGTCCGTCTCTCTGTCTGTCTGTCTCTCTGTCCGTCTCTCTGTCCATCCGTCTCTCTGTCTGTCTCTCTGTCCGTCCGTCTCTCTGTCCTTCTGTCTCTCTGTCCGTCTCTCTGTCTGTCTCTCTGTCCGTCCGTCTCTCTGTCTGTCTCTCTGTCTGTCCGTCTCTCTGTCCTTCTGTCTCTCTGTCCGTCCGTCTCTCTGTCCATCCGTCTCTCTGTCCGTCCGTCTCTCTGTCTGTCTGTCCGTCTCTCTGTCCGTCCGTCTCTCTGTCTGTCTGTCCGTCTCTCTCTGTCCGTCCGTCTCTCTGTCCGTCCGTCTCTCT